TATCATTATAAAATAGTTCCAAACGTTTTAATTCCATTCTATACATTGCTACCACCACTGTGAGTCTCAGCATCACCTAAAGCAATTGCTAAATCCATCCAATAGTTTTAAGTGTTTTTCTTTCAAATTCTTCAATGCTGGAGTGTAATAAAGAAAACAACACAGTACCATGTTAAAAAAAAAAAAAGAGAGTTTTATGAAGAATAAGTATTTATTTTTTATTGGGATTTGGTAAAAGTTTACAGAGCAAATTCATTTTCATTCAACAGTTCCTGCTTATTTTGTTTTGTAACTTTGATTGCAGTCCCCACAATGTAATAGCTCTCTTCCCACTTCCTCCCTATGATTATGTTTTCCCTGTCCTTCTTTCCTGTGCATTTCTACCCATTCAGCTTTCTCCATGTGTAAATGCTGCCCTTCTAATCTCCCATGGTTGATCTAAGGAGTGTACCTACCTGGTGTAAATGTTCACCTCATAGATCTTTCTGTTGTTTGGCTGGAAGTTAAGCCATGGAAGTCAGTTCAGTTACTCTTGGGAGTTTTACAGTCTCTGTCACACGTAGCAAACAAACAAAAAACAAACCCATCGAGTTGATTCCTAGTCATAGAGATCTCCATTGGGTTTCCAAGGCTTTAAATCTTTATAGAAGTAGATTGCCTTGTCTCCCTCCCGTGGAGCAGCTGGTGAGTTTGAACTGCTGATCTGGTTAGCAGGACACAGGACATCCAGGATACCACCAGAGCTCCTTATCAGACCGGTAAGCTGGTCTTTTTTATCATTTTTAGTTTTGTTCTACATTTTTCTCCCATTCTATGTAGGATCTCCAAATTCGATCCCTTTCTGAGTGGTTGGCAGTAGTACCTGAGCACCATCTAGTTCTTCTGGTCTCAGGGTCATGTTGGCTGAGGTTCCATGGTCCCCTAGTCCTTTGGACTAATTGTTTCCATGGGTCTTTGATTTTCTTTCCTTTTATTTGCTCCCAATGAGAAGAGACCAATTATTGCATCTTAGATGGCAGTTTGCAAGCTCTGAAGATCCTGGTCGCTACTCACGAAAGTGGGATGTAGAACAAAGCATTTAACATTGACTGTTAATACTGTATTTGCAATCATGTGTATGTCATATCTGGATTACTGATGTGAAGCAAAAATTTAGGTTAGGTTCATGAATGCTTCTTTCTAATGATATAAATTTTTTTTTTTTTAACGAGTTAGATTTGAATTCTAACATGACATCTTAGTAAACTACATTCTGCAAAACATTCAATAATTTTGCAGGTGTTTATGTTTACTATTTCACTTTATGTTAAAGACTAAAAAGTATCTCAGAAATATTGATAATTTTTTAATCTGGGGGATGATTATATGGGAACCAATGACACTGTTCTCTACTTTTTTTTGTATATGTAAAATATAAAAAAGCCTGAAAGTTGCAATATTTAACTTTGAGTATATGAATTAGAATGTTTATTTCTAAATATAGCTATTCATAGGACATTGTGGATCATTTACAATTTCTTCTGAACTTACACTGCTAGAGCAAATATTTATTTATTTTTTTTCTTTCATACAGATAAGATTAATTCTTTTCTGATGATTGGTTTTGGGTGATGTTATATGTAATATATGTAACTGAAGATCAGTGGTTGAGAAGTTTGTAACATGTTCTACTTTACCTTCATGAGAGCAAAAGCCCAAAATTAGCTAATTTCAGTTTTGTATAACAAAATAACATGGATGGAATTGGTCACCATTATACACTGCATTTGTTTTGCAGTTATAATTTTGTTGCTTTATAAATAGAAATTCTGTCACGAGATTCTACATAAAATCTATTGCCATCAAGTTCGTCCCGATATATACTGACCCTGTAGGACAGAGTAGTACTCCCCCTTAGGGTTTTCAAGGCTGTGAATCTTCATGGAAGCAAATTGCCTCATTTTTCTCCTACAGAGTGGGGAGCAGCTGGTGGGTTCGAACTGCTGGTCTCTTGGTTATTAGCCAAATACTTTAACCACAACGCCAGCAGACCTTCCCAGATTCCAGACAGTGGTTACTTTTTTATGGATGGGTATGAGACCATAAGTAAATTTTAGCTACTGGTAGCATCCTACTTCTCTTGCATGATGAGTTCACAGATGTTCTTTATGAATGAATAAGTTAATAAAATAAAAGATCCTTGTGTAGAGAAAAATGGCTAACTCATATTCAACACTTCCATTACTTAAAAATATAATTGTTGGAAAGTGGACATAACAGATACTTTTTTTTCACGTGTTAAGAATTTCAATTAAAATTTTTAGAGCTAATTCTATTAATACCCATTTTTATTTTAAGGGTTCTGATGATTGTCTTGTGAAAATCTGGGCAACAGATGATGGGAGGCTGCTAGCTACTTTAAGAGGACATGCTGCTGAAATATCAGACATGGCTGTAAATTATGAGAATACCATGATAGCAGCTGGAAGTTGTGATAAAATGATCCGAGTCTGGTGTCTTCGAACGTGTGCACCTTTGGCTGTTCTTCAGGGCCACAGTGCATCTATAACGTCACTACAGGTAATTGTTAAATCCCTGCAAACTCCTTTTTGGTTATAATTTAAAGTAATTTTTAGTTTACTTTTCTAATCACAGTGTATAAGTCCAACTAAAAAGAAAGAAGTATTCCTATTTTCTTTATAAATAATGTGAACTTTAAATAACAGAATAGTCATGACTTTAGTCAATTTGTAGTTATTTTTTGTGTTACTGTTATTTGCTATTTATAAAGTAAAAAGTGGATTTATTATTTGGACTGTGTCACTGTTATAAAAATTTTTCCCTTTGATTGTTTTTCAGTTCTCACCATTGTGCAGTGGCTCAAAGAGATATCTATCTTCTACTGGGGCAGATGGCACTATTTGCTTTTGGCTTTGGGATGCTGGAACCCTTAAAATAAAGTCAGTTATTACTTTGTTTCATAAATAAATGATTAATTTAATGATTGAGATTGTGAAAGTAGTTGACAATAAGGAATAAATTTCTTTTTTCTTGATTAAATAACACATCTTTTCCATTCTTCATTGAATATTGATCGACCTTTTTTATTTTTTAATACTTATTTTCTTGTTGAAAATATACATAGTACAACATACACTAATTTAACAGTTTCTACATGTACAATTCAGTGACATTGATTAAATTCTTTCAAGTTGTGCAGTCATTCTCACCTCCTTTTCTGAACTAACTGTACCTCCCCCATTAGTATAAATTCAACTGCTCCCTAAGTTTCCTGTCTACTCTTTCAAATTGCTGTTGTCAGTTTGATCCCATGTAGCATAGTGTTCAAGGCATACATTCTTTACTGTTGTTGTTGTTATGTGCCGTTGAGTCGGACCCGACTCATAGCGACCCCTCTTTGGGTTTCTGAAGTGGTATCACTATGGAAGTAGATTGCCCAACCTTTATTCTGAGGACTGGTTGGTGGGTTTGAACAGCCAGCCTTCTGGATAGAAGTCAAGTGCCTTAGGCCCTATGCTACCAGAGCTCCCACATTCTTTACTAGTCAATAAAAACTATTCTTTGGTTTTAAGATAACCTCAGGGTTATTTTTGGTTGAAAGTTTAAAGATTAACTCACAGCAGTACTTTCAGAGGCTCATCCAGCCTTCATGGCTCCTGAAAGTCTAGATTCCATGAGAATCTGAAGCTCTGCTGTGCATTTTCTGTGATCTCAGTTCTTTAATAGAATCTTTGATCAAAATGTTCAGTAATGGTAGCTTGGCCACCATCCAGTTCTTGTGATGTCATCGAGGCTGTTGTTCATGGAGGCAGTTCGCCACACATTTCATTTCTTCCACTTACTCCAGACGCTCCTTATTCCTTTGTTGTTCAGGGTGAATAGACACTAGTTGTTTTTATGGACCCCTTTCATTTTTATGCCTTTTGTTTTTTCTTTCTTGCTTAAAACAAAGATCTCTTATGTTAGCATTTTTTTTTCTTTTTTTTTCTAGCTGTAGCTCTTTCTCAAAATATTCTTGTCCTATAACCGCTCCTTTCTGTATGCTGCATAGCTTCATGTCAGTAACTCCTCCTAACTCTGAGAACATGCCTTAGAATTCCTAACTGTTTTTTACAATAATTTGAATTATTTATGTTATAAATCTACAAATTTTAGATTTTATTGTAGACTTAGAGAAACTTAATAAAACAGAAATAAAAGTTTCACTGAACTACATTAACATAAATAAATGTGCTCTCTCCCTAGCCTTCTCTACCATAGTAGGTTATGCATTTTTGCTTTAACACTAATCATACAACATTTATATAAGAAAATATAGCCATACTTGGTTATCAAAACAAGTTGGCAAGACATTATCTTAAGATTAATGACATTGAAGCCAAGAATGAGTAAATGACTTGCCTGTGGATAAAAATATGACAAGGCTAGGATTAGAATTTTCATCCATTGCCTTTCAGTCCTCCCATGCTTTCTACACCATAAACAAACAAACAAAAATGTTGCCATTGAATTGAATCAGACTCATGGCAACCCCTTTGTGTATAGAGTAGAATTGTACTCCACTGGGTTGTTGTAACAGTGACCTTTTGGAAGCGAATCCCCAAGCCTTTCTTGCAAGGCACCTCTGAGTGGGTTCAAACTACCAATCTTTTGGTTAGTTACGTGCTTAACTTGATTGCTCTATCCAGGGACTCCTTTCTTCTGTACCTCCCCTTCTGTTGAATGTACTGAGAAGAGGCAGTGCTATATTTGCCCCATAGATAGACTGTGAAGGAGAAAAAGTTTCTCATTCAGACTAAAACATGTATTTTAATAGCTACCACTGAGTTCTGCTTATAAATTAACCCAAAATGATTTATTTCTTAACATAATTTACAGCTTGGTTATTTTAAAACAGTTTAAATAATTACTTCTAATGTAAGACATGTTAAACTTCGTGTGTATGAACATTCCTTAAGAATATTTCTTATGGCAAGGAATTAGGAGGTCATCGCAAATTAAGATAATAAAACAAGGTCTACTTTGGGAAAAAAAATGTGATCAGAAACATACTGCTTTGAAGAAAGCACATACATTTAATCCTCAAAAACAAAAATAAGCAAACTTAACTGCTGTCGAGTTATTTACGACTCTTAGCAACCCCTCCTTGGGTTTCTGAGGCGGTATCTCTACAGAAGTAGATTGCCCAACCTTCTTTCTGAGGAGTGGCTGGTGGGTTTGGATCCCCGGCCTTCTGGTTAGCAGTCAAGTGCCTTAGGCTCTGTGCTACCAGAGCTCCCAATTTAGAACTGGTTGAATGTAATTAAAATACTAAAAATGCTAATATTTTTTGTGTGCAAGCACTTTACATAGATTAGACTCACTTGATTTTCCCAGCATCTCTGAGATAGGTTTTGTTGTTATTGCTAGTTTACAAATTAAGAGACCTTGTTGTTGTTATTGTTAGGTGTAGTTGAGTCATCTCCAACTCACAGCGACCTTATGTACAACAGAATGAAACACTGCCCAGTCCTGTGCTTGCATCATGATCCCTACTGTACCTGAGCCCATCGTTGCAGCCACTATGTCCTTAGGTTCAGAAATGCTAACTTCACTAAGGTCACACGTCTGATTAAGTAACAGAGTCAGGATTTGAACCCAGAGAGTCATCTTAGTCTAAGGCCCTGTCTGAAATTTCCTCAGATTTTCATATAAAAAGACATTCTTCATTCCTGCTTATTTATTTGCCTTTCTTTTTAAAAAATATAGAAGTGTTATTTGCACATTTTGGTAGTTAGCTGGCACTTAAGAGCAATTTGCCAAAAATAAACAAAAATAAACAGCTTTGTTCCATAAGATGTTAATGAAAGTAGTGAATTTAGTTGCCTTTATAATTTCTGATAAATTTACTTAAATTACAAGTACTTTAATTTTGCTATGAATGAATTTTAGATTTTACAAGTATTTTAATAAATTTCTTTTTCTCTAAAATGTCTGTTATGCTCAGCTATATGAGAGCCTGTGGAGATTAAGAAAAATTTGTTATGAGTGTCCATTTTTAAAAAATTACATGCTCAGTGGTAATACATCCCCTAAAGCAATAAACCATGGGACACCAAAGGACCAACATTCAAATTGAGGAAATGCAGGACAAACAGTTATGCATATTATGAGGGGCACAGGGGGAGTGTTGCAGGGTAGGGAGGGGAGGAGACTGGGTTAAAAAAAATGCAAATTTAACTTAAAAAAAATTTAATAAAGTCTTAGTATTGTGCTCTATATCCGAAGGACAACTTAGTTAAAACTTCTTTTTAAGAATACGTAATTGAGAGGTCAGAAATATTTTATCAATATATTTTTTTCTCTAATCACAAGACAAAAAAATTGCCAGCTCTGTATTTGATTGCTTGAATTGTGAAAGTTGTACAGTGCATTGGGGCTTAAGGTTCTAATTACTTTTGTATTTTTCTGCCCTAATAATCTGAGACAAACTGGGTCAAAATGTTCATTAAGTAGAGCTTATGTATTAGAGCTAATAACTAAACTCTACATTGTAATATACTTTAATTAATATGACTCATTGTAGCATTAAACATTTAATGTCAGTAATATTAATATAAGATATAAAATCTGTATTACTATTACAGAAATAATTAAATACAGTCGAATGTTACCTGTTTTCTGTATATCACTACTTTGGTGAACATTGACATAAGAGTCAGATGGTTTTCAGGTTTTGACTGGGATAACTTGGTGTGACAGTGACTTTGGGATTGTTCCATGTGGATTGTTGTATAACCAGGAGTTCCTACAAAATCTACATCTAGAATTTCCACAAGATCTGCTGATCATGACACATGTGATTTCTAACTTGTTTTTAGAAAGGGAACCATCTGTTGCTACTTACTTAAATTTGTCTTTCTGTGATAATTTTTTGAAGCAGTTTATTTCTGACATTATTGGCTCATTTAAAATATTTTTGTTGATTTCTTTGTATTGTAGTCCAAGACCTGCAAAATTTACAGAGCGCCCTCGACCTGGAGTTCAAATGATCTGTTCTTCTTTTAGTGCTGGTAAAGTATTCTTCCCTAATTTTTTTTACTTAGAATTTTTTATTAGAAAGCTTCTAGTAGAATACATGATATTTGGAAAGAGACTTACTCCGTATTTTCATACGTATTCCAGGGGTTAATGGCAAACCAGAGTAATCATAAATTAAATTAGAAATACTTGAAATTTTCCAGAGTTTTGCTTATCATCATACAACTAGCATTTTTCTTTAGTGAGACTAGTGCTTTAGAGGAGAGAACACAGTAGTTTTGAGACTGACCCTGTTAAAGAGAAGAATAAATCCCTAAATAGTTGGCTTACTGAAAGAAATACGTTTTATTGAGTCATTTGTTTTGGACATGTGTTCATTTGGAGAGACTCCATTCACTGTGGAGTTGAGTTAGCTGTAATCTTTACGGAAGCCAGTTACTAGAACAGATCTTCTGCAGTACCACTGGGTGGGTTCAAACTGGCAACCTTTATGGAACCAGTTAAGCACTGGCCATCTGCCCCATCCAGGACCTTAGAGTTATATTTTAAATCTAGCTGTATTTCCATGGATTCTGGAGGTATCCCATAGCTAAGTAAAGTAGATTTAATTGATATTTGTGCCTTTTAGTTACTTTGCTCCAAATTGTTTGTATATATGTGTATGTATATATATTTAAAGTAGCTATATGGTAATGGTGATATTTCAATTGTGTTGTGTAGTTTGTGGAGCAGAATTTTTTATGGATATTTAGGGTCTTTTGGTTTATCTTAATTGTTTTTCTAAACCAGTTATCTGGAAATTTGAAGTGAATTGATAAAGTAAAATGAAACATGAGAAATAGATTCAGTACTTGTTTCTAGTAACCTCTTTTGTCTTTCTTTCCACTTACACTTTTTCTGTTCATTTTATAACTGTGCATATAGCAGTATGTTCTGGGATGAATGAATGCAGATTGATGAAGGACAGTATTTTCTCCATATTAATATCAAGCATCTTCAGTTTCTGACTTCTAGATTCCCAGTACTACTGACATGAGGACAGTTTTTCTTATAGTAATAACATGAATATAGGCATTGACTGTTTATGCAATCAGAGTACTCTGAATTTATGCTCTTCTTTCAAAGATAATCTGATTTTTTAAAAGCATTCAAAAGGGAGGTCATTTAACAAAAATACTTGAATATTCAGTTACATACAAGCACTGTTTTCAACACTGTGGTAGAGTATTGCTCTTCAGAGGAAGTAAATTGCATATACAGATAATTGGAATACAAGATAGAATTTTATGTGTATAAGACAGTGTCCTAAGAGAGTTCAGAGGAGAGGACCCTCCTATAGATTGGAAAGTTAGTAATGAAAATATACTAAGGGAATTGGACCTTGATAGAATTTTGACAAGTGGGAAATGAGGCAAAAGAGGGAACATAGCAAGGTGAAATAATATTTTTGTAGTATGTTTGATAATTTCAGCATGGTAAAATTGTATAATCACTTAGTGAATTTCTTTTTAGAGCAAAGTTTTACATCTATAAACATTCACAAATTCAATAATTAGCAAGCATCTTTCTTAAATTCAGGTTGAATTGTTTATTTAGGAAAAGTGTGATTTTATAGTACAGTATTAATTCTTCAGTATTTAATGTGATAATGTTGTTTGCATTTTATGTTGTAATTTTCTTCGATTATGAAATCGATTTTTACTCGTAAGTGTTTCCTATTATTCCTCACAGGTGGAATGTTTCTGGCCACAGGAAGCACAGATCATATTATTAGAGTTTATTTTTTTGGATCAGGTCAGCCAGAGAAAATATCAGAATTGGAGTTTCATACTGTAAGTATTGTTGGATAGAATTAAATGAGTACAATTTATATAAGTCTGAAAGTGTATATTCAGTATCCCCTATTCTGTTTTATCTGTTTGTCTATAGGACAAAGTTGACAGTATCCAGTTTTCCAACACTAGTAACAGGTAAAAAAAAAATTATTTGTGTTTGTCAAATTTAATTCCAATTTTAAAATTATGAAATAAATGATTCTAGTAGTGATCAGTTTTAGTACTTATAGAAATAACCACATAAAATAAAGAACTTGACTGTTACACTGAACAGTATAAAACCAAAAAAGAAAACAAAAGAAACTTGTTGCTGTGCAGTTCATTCTGACTCATTGTGAGCTTGTATTTCCTATACTTACCAAAGTGTAGAGGAGTGTTTGATGGAAATTGGAAGTGTATCACAGTATAATATTAGAGGCAGAACTGTTGGTTGATGACAAACATATGCGATACTGTGTAAATTTTCCCATGTTTTTAAAAAGAGAAATAAAACTATTTCTAAACATCTGGATTAGAACAAATTAAGTTCTTTAATATTGAAAAGAAAACCAATATTTTTGCAATGGATAATACCAATTCTTACTTTTAGGGTAGTAAATAGTGTCCTTGAATCTCTTCTATTACTTTTGAGACCTAGCCATAAACATTAGAAAGTTTGAATATAAAATGTTTAAAGCCTATAAAATGTCAGAAATTCTGAGATTTGCAGAGAATATCTATAAATCTCTATTGTGTTACATTGTTGTGTATGTAAAGATGAATGCTGTCTTTTTTAAAGTATTTTAAAAATAGAACTCTAGGGAAAATGCTTTTTGGTATAAAGCCTTTGTGATTTCTTTACCCCCTGGCTGGGGGCTCCTCTTCATACAGATTTGTAAGTGGTAGTCGTGATGGGACAGCTCGTATTTGGCAATTTAAACGAAGAGAATGGAAGAGCATTTTGTTGGATATGACTACTCGTCCAGCAGGGTAAGAGATCAAATTTGAGTAGTATATACCTACCTACCTGCTGCCATCGAGTCAGGTCTGCCTCATAGCGACCCCTCCTTGGGTTTCCAAGGTGATACCACTACAGAAGTAGATTGCCCAACTTTCCTTCCGGGGAGGGCTGCTGGGCTGAACCACCAGCCTTTTGGTTAGCAGTCAGATGCCTTAGGCACTACACCACCAGAGCTCCTGAGTAGTACATAGGTGTAGATTATTTAAGGTATGCTATATTGCGTAAGGCATTTGACTGCTAACCAGAAGGCTGGTGGTTCAAACCCACCAGCCTCTCCTCGGAAGGAAGGTTGGGCAGTCTACTTCCGTATTGACAAGCTCTTGGAAACCCAAGGAGGGGTTGCTATGAGTCAGATCCGACTTGACAGCAATGTGTGTATTTTGGTTTTTCGTATTACAGATTGGAATGATTTAGCATATAAAATCATATACCATAATCCAAGTTTTAAATGATTATACTTTTGCAATAATTAGAAGCCCTATTGGAAATTTTTGAAATGAAATTATTTTTTGCCATATATACAACAAGACCTGCTACGTTAATGTTCTTTTCAGTTTGATTTTATTAAGAGGATGATGATAGTATAAGAATGAAGTTTACTATTTTCTTCAGAAATCAGAGTATCTGATGTTCCATCTATCATAGAAGGATAGGTTGGTATATGTCTAGTGGCTTTCTCCAGTCAAAAGACAATACATTATGCTTTACAGTTGTGGCTTTGGTTTTAATGTTTCATCATTTTTCTCTACTTGCATTTGCATGTAGTAGTCTCAGATAGATGGAAGAACAGAAGTTAACAGAGATGAGTGCACCAATAAAGGGTAGAAACTAACACAGAATTTCTGAATCTGTATAGGTTTTAATTAGTGATATTAACGCAAAGTCATCGGTTACTAACAGCCTAGGGGAGTTGGAATTCTGGTTTTCCTGTCTGAGTGCAGTGGCTTTTGCCACCATTCTACATTGATTTTAACCTTTCTCAGTTACTACTTAGTGGTAGTTATTCATGCTAGTGAATATAAATGTAAAGTATTACAAAATGCGTTTAGATTTTTGTCATATCAATGTTTTAAATCAGTAATGTCAGTGTAAAATACTGCTTCCTCACTTTTAGGCAAAATCTTCAAGGAATAGAAGATAAAATCACAAAAATGAAAGTAACTATGGTAGCTTGGGATCGACATGACAATACAGTTATAACTGCAGTTAATAACATGACCCTGAAGGTTTGGAATTCTTACACTGGTCAACTAATTCATGTCCTGATGGTAAGAAAAAAGACTATATTTTATTTTGTTTAGTTGAAGCTGTTGAATGTAATATTCTCATTGAGGATTGAAGTCTGTTATGGTAGCTAAGAATTCTCCCTTCATGCTTTGTGGGAGATGGGTAAAAATCTAAAAATACAGTTAAATGGGTTTAGCTTGGAAATAAATTGCAGATCCTTGCTGGTTTTTGACTTGTCAAGCTTATCAATAATATTCTCATGTTTCACCAATTGATAGATAGCATAGTCCTAGGCAGTGGTACTAGCTCAGTTTCATTACTGTTTACACATACATAACTTTGAAGTGTTTTGCTACTTTAATAATTTTTAAAATTCAACATTCTACAAACTTTACTAATTTGCCATATTGGTTTTGCCTTTCTTTCCTTTTATGTATTTATAATCATTTGAAACTTCAAAAATATTTCAGGGTCATGAAGATGAAGTGTTTGTTCTTGAACCACATCCATTTGATCCTAGAGTTCTCTTTTCTGCTGGTCATGATGGGAATGTGATAGTATGGGATCTGGCAAGAGGAGTCAAAATACGATCTTACTTCAACATGGTAATTATGAGTCTCTTCATTTTATAGTTGTCAAAGACATAGACACTTCTTCAACAAGTACTCACATGTCACAAAGGAAATCCATTTAAGAAATGATTCATACATTATTTTGACTTCAGATCTACCAAAATACATATTCCATGCCTTTATTAAGATGCTAAATTGAAAGAAAATTACTTATGCATATTATAATCCCTGTACATTGTGATGACTGTTTTATTTTTAAAAACAGCTTTAACAGTAAAACTTAGTGGAGAAATTTTCAAGTATGATGATAAGTACAGATCAGAAAAAAATATGTGGAAAACCATACGAAGGAATTATTAATTGTATATTTATTATGCTGTTACATAGTCAGTCCCTAGATTCTGAAGGAGTTCTGTTCATGAGTCTGTCTTTAAGTTGAATTTGTATGTAAGTCAGACCATGTAGGTATAGTTCTAATGTCAATCAAAATTTAGTCTTAATGTACCTTTCTTGAATAGAAACATAAAGGAAGCACTTTCACATACAGTAAAACATAATGAAGTAATAATAATGTTTTGGTGCACATCAAAAAGTAATGCTGTTTGTTATTACGAACCATTGTATGTAACTTGAACTTTTTATTATAATAAGCTTATGGCTGGCAGTTGGTTCGTAACTGTGGGATGTACCTAAGTTGAATGTTCTATATTCATAACCCAGGGCCTGCTTGTATTTCATGAACACTCCTATAGTGCAATGAGATTTGATTCAAATACACCCATTTTTAAATTAAAGCCAAAGAATCAGGGATTTTTGTCTTTTATGAAGTTATATGATATGATATTTATTTGGTTTTAAGCTCTTTTGCCTCCACATTTTACTTATGATTTAATGGAACCGCTGTGCTGTGTTTTCATTTCTCTTTAGCTACTGTATGAAGTATAAAAGATCCTTTAAATAGTGCTACTTTCATAACCATGTTCTTTTTAATCTATTTCCTGTATATCAGGCATACTTTTAAACTAAGAAAAACTTATATTCTACTAGTTGGACATAATGAGATTTAATAAGAAAAATTGATGACAAAAACTGTTGGCAGTAAATCATAAAACAATGTAATTAATAGTTGTGTGGTCTGGGTCATTTTGCAGAAATACTTTTTTTTTCACAATACAGTTATTCGTGAAATATGATTTGTGAAAAAAATTACTGAAACTGATACTACGCTTGTTTAGTCATCGTAATACAGTTACTTTCAGTTTGTAAATTAAAAAAAAAGATATTAGTTAAGGAACTAACTATAATTGTCAAAGATATGCCTTGGTGTACATAAAGTAAGAAATAAGGTTAGTCAGATTGTCAGTTTCTGGAAAAACAATGGGAATTATTAGAGAGACAGCTGTTAGTGATGGATGGATTTCCTTTGTGATTGTGTGTATTTAGGGGATTTTTTTTTAAGTACATCCTTAAATATTCTGCTAAAGAATATTTTGTTTTCTCCTTTTCTATTCTTGTGATGGTATTTGTTCTTTTTTGGGACATCTCTGTTGAATAAGGAAATTAGCCCTTTCTCATGTTGTCATTAATGCTACGAATGACAACTGACAGTAACAACCTGTATGTATTTTATTTAGTAATTTCATATTATCAGAGGACATTGGTGTATTAGTAGAGTAGAGGGAAAGTTTTCTGCCATAATTGTAATACTTTCACCTTTTAATTATAAAGGTGAATTTTTCCTCAGCAGGTAAGTTGTTCACATTAATGTTCTACCTTTTGAGCAGATTTAAAAAAGAGCAGCATCTAGAAATTTAAGTGATTTGCCTTGAACTGTTAAAAATTAATAATGTAATCAGGAATAGAAGTCACCATATTGTATATTGTTTGATATTAGTTATGGGATTAAATACATTACTGCTTTAAAAAATACTTATTAATAATGAGTTTTAGATGAAGATATTTTTCCTGTTCCTTCTATGGATAACCAATGAAAAAAGTTCTAACTGGAAGAAGAACCAAGTTTATGTAATAATTAGAATATGATGATATCTGTAGTACTTTTAGACTGTGAGAAAAAGCACAAAATAAGAATTAAAACATATATTCTGCATTTAAAAAACAGAAAAGCAGTTTCTCTTCAACATATTAAAGAAAAATACTCCCTGTAATTTTTTTGCACGATTTTTAATGGCTTCCAAAATGCTTCCACATATATTATCACATATAGGTCTGAGGAAAACTTCTAAATCTCTGGTTTTATGAATGAATAAACTGTACATTGAAGAAATGAACTGCTTTGCCTAGGTCATACAGCTATTATAAGGGTATTTGGTGTTTAAACTGTGTTTTCTGTCAGTTTCTAATATTAATGGTAAATGTAGTCTTTTTTTTTTTTGAGTATTTAATCAATATCTTTGCATAGTTTATTTCCCACTATGTACAGTTAGTGATATGTCCAGGGGAAAATATTTTCATAATGGTTTGAGCTCTGAGTGGATCTTTTGAGATGCTGTTACTCAGCTTGATTTTTTTTTTTTCCTGCTGTCTCCAAATTTATAAATTATCTAAGTACCCTTCTTCTTTTTGATCTTTGGTCTTTTGTTCATTTCATTGCTTGTTTATCTATGGCAGACTGAAGTTTAAACATCCAACACTGGTATTTAAGAAAATAAAGAAAAACAATTTGAGGGATGAGTAGAAGCTTATGTTCTCATTATCTACTATCATGAATGTTGAACTTTGCGTACAGTTAGACCTGTTTGGCTTTGTGTAGGTAATCAATAGTTTTTGAGTTGTAAATGTACCATAAAACTTGCTCAAGTACAAATTCAATCCTGGATGTTAAATTGTACAGGCAATCACAAATTCAGTTTAGTAGATATTTTTTGAGGCTCATGTAGGATCTCATCATTGTGTCTTGGAGGATTTGAGGATGTATAATTCTGTTGGAATACTGTCTTTTTTTAGATCAGAAGTAGTAAAAGTTTTGATGAAGTATTATTAGGATAAAGTAATATTATCTGTGTATTCAACATTTAAAGCTTATAACATGAATAAATAAGTTAACCATTGCACATAAGGCCAGAAAATGTAGTGTACTTTTAAAAGAATAAAAATTTTGTATATAGATTTTCACAAAATTTTTTTATCCAGGTATAATTTGGAAATACTCCTTTAATATTGGTCCTTCAATATTTACCTGAATTGTCTGGGAATCATGTAAGAAATAATAAGTGATTTTGTATTAGTCATCATTTTAGTATGAATTGCTTACCTGTTTACAGAAATTAAAACCGTTTTTAGAAATTTTAAAAGTTGTCAAACATCCCATGTCATTACAACGCTTTAAATGAAAGATTGAAGTTATAAATGTCCATGTTTAGTATATATAGTAATCACATTTTAATAAATTTTTAATTTCAGATTATATTGTAAACCATTAATATTTTAATAACACACTGATTTACAACATTCAGATAAATATCCTTCTCTCCCTTCTTTCTCCCTTGTCAAGCCATGATTTAACCAAAGCCAAAGCCACTGTCACTGATTCAGTTCTGACTCATCACGACCCTATGGGACAAAGTAGAACTGCCTCGTTGGGTGTCCAAGGCGATAAATCTTTTTTTTTTTTTTAGTTTTATTTTGATTTGGGTGAAGATTTACAGAGTAAATTTACTTTTCATACAGCAGTTCACATATACTTTGTCTTATGTCATTGACCAAAATTTGCAATGCAACAGCTCCCCTCCTACTTCATCCCCATAGTTACCTCTTCCCAGTGTCCATCCCTCCATACTCTTCTGCGCCCTGAGCTGTCTCCCTGTGCATAAGCAGCTCTTCCTTCTCCCATGATTGTTCTCTCCAGGGTGTGTGTCTACTTGAGGTAAATGTTTAACTCACATGCCTGTACTTTGTTTGGCTGGAAACCACAGGTGTGGGTTCAATTCCAGACCTGAAGGGCAGCTAGGGGCCATAGTCTCAGTGGTTTCACCAGGCTCTATTGGACCAGAAAACCTGGTCCCCACCTTTTTTTTTTTTTGCCAAGGCGATAAATCTTTATGAAAGCAAACTGCTTCATCTTTCTCCTACAAAGAGGCTGATGGGTTCAAACCACCAACCTTTTTGTTAGCAGCAGAATGCTGTAACCACAATGCCACCAAGCCATGACTTAAACTTTTTAAAATATCTTATACTTTATTTTAGGACCACCTGTGATTAAAAGGTTTACAATGGGACGTTGAGATAGTTCATTTTTATGTTTAAATAATCCTCTAATTTACTAACATTAAAAAAAAAAATCAAACAAATAGATTCTCAACTTGTTTGTGGTATTGTCCAGATAAAGTGATGTTTTCCTCCTTTTTAATGATAGCTTTCCTCCTCCTATAGAATCTGAATGATAAAAGCAGCTGGGGTGTAGGCACTGAGTTTGGCAAGTGAGCTGTTTAAAATGAGGCTAACATAAAGCAAGAAGCTTTGGTGACACAGTAATTAAGCATTTGGCTGTTAGCTGAAAGGTTGATGGTTCAAATTCACCAGCTGCTCCTTAGGAGAAACACAAAGCACTCTACTTCATAAAGATTTACATAAAGAAAGCCTGTGGGGGCAGTTCTACTCCATCCTGTAAAGTTGCTATGAGTCAGAATCAACTGGATGGCATTTGGTTTTTTTGGTTTGGTAAAATAAGGCAGGTCATGGAATTAAAAAAAAAAAAAAAAAACTCACTGTCATTGAATTGGGTCCAACATGTAGCAGTGCCTCCTTGGGTTTCCAAGACAGTATCTCTATGGACGGAGATTGCCCAGTCTTCCTTCCCAGGAGTGGCTGGTGGGTTTGAACCACCAGCCTTCTGGTTAGCAGTCAGATGCACAATACATATTCCTTGCACTCTCCCCACCACATACACATTCTTGCATCTTTAACTAAAATTAATTTTCAAATAAACACTTAAAAGTATTTGTTGAAAAGCATAATATAAGAAGATAAGAATTGAGCCTTTTGTGTTTTTTTGTTTTGTTTTTTTCTTTTAA